GGTCAGGCGCGAGGTCTCGGCATGCAGCTACAGTCGAGCTTCTGAAGCGGCGGCAGCCCCGAGAACAGGGGGCGTGCTGCAGCTGGAAGACGCTCCAGCGAGCGCAGCACGGCACCAAGACCACAAGTGTGCTGGGCCATCTTAAGGAGTAAAATGGGGCAGACTATTATCTCAGTGGCAGGGCCACGAAGAGAGGGCCTGATCCTGCGAGGCAGTGTTGCTAGGGCTCTCAGATTGAAGAGGACGTTAGGTAACCGTTAGGTCCAGTGTCTAGCACGGCCACCCAAGAATCCGATTTGGCTGCCAAATGCGCTATGTTGGAGCTGACGGTGAAGAGGCTCCAGGCTGATCTGCGCGAGTTTCGCGACCGCGGAGACGAGCGAGAGCGTGAGTACTTCGTCACCGAAGTGCCGACCTCTCCGGCGATGCTGGGGACGGGCAGGTGGTTTCTCCCCTCTGCCGCCTCCACGCAGGAAGAGTGTTGCAAGATGTGCGAATCTTGCGGCACAGGAGATACCCTGTGGCTCATAGCCTTCAGCTTCGACCGAAGGGAGGTAGTGGAAAGCCTCTCCAACGCGCAGAAACAGGGCGCAAACACGATGCTCATACTGGATGATCGCGGGCGCTAGCGTGTCGGTGGACTCCGGTCGCATGTCCAACGCACGTGCGCAGAGGGCACGAAGCGCCTCACCTGGTGCTTGATGATGTGTGTCTGCGAAGGCTTTTCACACCTGAAGCGCCTCCTTGGGGAGCGGTTTCGTGGTGCGGCGGCTCGACGGAGAAAGCAGTGATGCTGTTGCTGTGGGCTGCAGGTTTGGGGGCGACTGTGAAGGCAGATCCCTGAAGGCCCGGTGTCGCTAGCTTCCCGTAGCCACCTGTAGTTTTTCCTTTGAAGTTTGCAAGTAAGTGCAGTTTGTCTGTTGCGATTTGGGTCAAGCCGTGACCAGCGAGCAATGCTGTGCTAAAAGTGAGTGCACACTCTGCTTGCTTTGAGGGTTCAGAGTAGGCTTGGAAAGTCGCCGCCTTGCAATATGCAATAGCATACGCATATGCGCATACATACATACCCACAAACAAAGTAGCACTATTCACTCCCCAGAAGCTGAAATACACACCCTTCATGCATGCATGCAAACATGCGGCATACACATGTGGATGGATGGATGGATGGATGGATGGATGGAGTCCCAGTTGATGGCTCCGGTTCAAGCAGATCAAAAGGACATCAATCAATTGAAAACGTTACTGGCTTTCAGTGACACAACGGGGCAAGGTTCGGATGGCTTTCAGTTGGTCAGCGAGCTCTAGGCAGCGATGGCCTTCCGGCCAATGTGAACTGTTACCACGTCGAGCTGAAGGGCTTGTTGGTTGTGTTCAACCATGAGGAGAGTACGATGTTACGGACAGAAGAAGCTGGCAAGCTCAAAGCGCCATCTTGTCGGGAGCGCAAGAAACACATGATGATGATTCAGACTGCCTCCGATAGCCTGAAGCCAGCAAACCAGTTTGACGTCTTCGAGGCTGTATCACCACATTGAATTCGTCAGATTGTCCAGATTGTCGAGTGTGACCAAGCGATGGCCAATTTGGATCCGCTTGGGGAACAATAGTTTTGGTTGGAATTCAATCCCAGGCCCCCAGATGTCTCATATTTTCACACCTGAAGCGCCTCCTTGGGGAGCGGTTTCGTGGTGCGGCGGCTCGACGGAGAAAGCAGTGATGCTGTTGCTGTGGGCTGCAGGTTTGGGGGCGACTGTGAAGGCAGATCCCTGAAGGCCCGGTGTCGCTAGCTTCCCGTAGCCACCTGTAGTTTTTCCTTTGAAGTTTGCAAGTAAGTGCAGTTTGTCTGTTGCGATTTGGGTCAAGCCGTGACCAGCGAGCAATGCTGTGCTAAAAGTGAGTGCACACTCTGCTTGCTTTGAGGGTTCAGAGTAGGCTTGGAAAGTCGCCGCCTTGCAATATGCAATAGCATACGCATATGCGCATACATACATACCCACAAACAAAGTAGCACTATTCACTCCCCAGAAGCTGAAATACACACCCTTCATGCATGCATGCAAACATGCGGCATACACATGTGGATGGATGGATGGATGGATGGATGGATGGAGTCCCAGTTGATGGCTCCGGTTCAAGCAGATCAAAAGGACATCAATCAATTGAAAACGTTACTGGCTTTCAGTGACACAACGGGGCAAGGTTCGGATGGCTTTCAGTTGGTCAGCGAGCTCTAGGCAGCGATGGCCTTCCGGCCAATGTGAACTGTTACCACGTCGAGCTGAAGGGCTTGTTGGTTGTGTTCAACCATGAGGAGAGTACGATGTTACGGACAGAAGAAGCTGGCAAGCTCAAAGCGCCATCTTGTCGGGAGCGCAAGAAACACATGATGATGATTCAGACTGCCTCCGATAGCCTGAAGCCAGCAAACCAGTTTGACGTCTTCGAGGCTGTATCACCACATTGAATTCGTCAGATTGTCCAGATTGTCGAGTGTGACCAAGCGATGGCCAATTTGGATCCGCTTGGGGAACAATAGTTTTGGTTGGAATTCAATCCCAGGCCCCCAGATGTCTCATACTTCAGCCTGCTCGCGCTGAACAAAGTCTGCGGTTGGCGCGCAAGAGGGACAAGTGGCGGAAAATGCGAAACGATGCGCTCGTCGTTGCACGTGACGTGGATGATGAAGATTATGTACCTCATGAATGGATTGGCTTCCTCAACTACATGCTGGATGGTTGAAACCTGCGAAACGTGTGTTGAGCAACTGTGCAAAGGTGCATAAAGCACATCGAGAAGGGAGAGATGAACATCTCGCGGACGCCAACGATCTTGTACAGAACCCAAGCGTGCACCGGTCGGTGGAGAGCGCAGTGTTCTCGGACTTAAATGCCATCCACGAGGACACCGACGATCTTCTACAGAATCCATTCTAGTCCCTGGGCGAAAGTCCACAGCAGGATGCGTTCGTCACAATGGCACAGATTGATGTGACGGAGTTCCGGACAGGCCGTCTGCTAAAGCACAAGGATCTCTGGTTCTCCTGGTTGGAACGTGTGCTCGAGTCTATGCCTAACATGTCAACTTCGGGACGACAGAATGTTGTGCAAGGTGGCTATGTATCGTTCGGCTTCAGTGGCCCTCACATGGACAACCACGGCAAGCACAAGACTCAAAACTACATCTTTGCACTGGGAAAGCATCGTGTCGATGGTCGTGGACGGAGCCGTCAGACGAGACTATGGCGCCGGAAAAGAAGCGCCAGGAAGAGTACACGGTATTCACTACAAGCTCTGTGCGTTTGATCCCGAAAAAAGGCACTCGTCAAGTGGACTGGCGCATTCATATCAAGAGTGATTCAAGAGCTGTGGATTGTGCGAACGAAAGAGATCTACATGTGCTTCGAGAGTTGACATTTGCACCTCCCCGGGACAGTTGCATGTACCTGTTCGAGGGCTCGCGGTGTCCTGTCAAAGGCCAGTTTTTTCGTGTATACGTGGAGGAGGATCATCTGGGATCCCGTGAAATCGCAAGATCGCCACGTCTCGCACACGCCAAGCCGCACATGGTCAGGCTTCAGTGTCCGACAACTTAAGTTCGGCTTACTCATTCTGTCCTTCAGAAGGGGGGTAGTTAATTGAGCTCGTCGTCGTTGTCTTCCGGCACAGGAACATTGATTGCCTCTTGTGGCCGAGGTCACTGCGCAGGACGTTCGTCCACACCACCGCCGGACTCGCGGACTCGTGTGAAGGGTCTGGTTCGCCTCCGTCTTCATCACCCCCAATCATGACAGGAAAAGATTTTCATAGAAGTTCGGAAAAGCTCCTCGCGTAGCGGGTTCCCAGCTCACCAGCCAACATCACCTTTGCGATCTGCCTTTCGCTGGTGGCATGCGGACATTACATTGTTCGAACCTTGCCTTCCATAAACTCTTCCTTCATCGAGATCCAGGCACTCTAGGCTTCTCCATGCCAAACCAATCCAATCCAGGGCCAACCCAAGTCAGCTTGTCGCTGTACGTGCACGGATTATAACCCGTTGGAACTCATTCGGTTTGAGAGCGATGCCCTCGACGCACACTTGCGTATCTCGAGAATCGTTCTCGTCTCTTCCCCAGCACTGTGAACCACCAACTGAGGGTTAACATAATCATCTGACAACAAGGATCGCTGCAATCTCAAGTTATGACCCATCTGTCTTTGCATAGGACCGAGGCCACTCCTGTTGCCATAGCGGTTCCGGGCTCTTTCCACCATAGAGAAGTGTCTTCACCTCTTCCAGCGACGTCACATGCACAGCGTCCCTGGCGCGTTCATAGGCATGTTCGGAGTGTGCCAGTGTGCCCCAGCTCGCTCGTTTTTGCCTGCTTGCAGCATGACCTCCTGTACCACAACCACTAGAGGTGCAACGACGTCGCATGGAGCTTGAACCTGAATTATTAGGCCTAGGCTTTCAAAATAATCAGAAATGAAAAGCTTGATGGCAGCCTTTCGGATCACCACCATAAGCAGTGCGACGTCGTCCTCAGAGTGTGCCCTACTTTCAAGGCCAAGGCACGGCAGAAAAACGTGTGTTTCAATGGTACTGTCTGGGGGACGGCAAATGGAAGCTTCGTATGAGTGGGAGTCTGTGAACCCAGATGTGGCGATCCGAAGACATGATGCTCCCAGAGACTTGGGCTTTGCAACGCGTCAAGGATCAAGGCGACACTGATGCCGCGAAGACTCAAAGTTAGACAGACCTACAAGGTGACGGAATTAGCACAGCGAACAAGAGCCAGGATTTCTGCTTCAAGCAGAGAAAAGAACAAGAATAACACCAAAAGGTCTTGGATGGGATTCACCGTGTTCTCTAACCAAAAGGTGAAGGTTGAGAAATGCCTGGTTAGGAAAGCTCGAGGCCCAGGAGAAGTTGTGAGCACGAGATCAAACCAGAAGAATGGTCAGAGTGGAAAAAGACCGACAAGGGGGGGGGGGGACAAAGTTGAGGGCACCAGAGCGATGCGAGTCCTGAGTCCGGAGGAGCCAAAACGAATTGGCAAAGGCGATGAGAAAGATCGAATCATTCAACCAGGGTGCCTCGCCGACGAAACCTGCAGACCAACCTGCTCAACATCTTCCAGAAAGAGCAGAAGGTGTTTGCTGGGAGACCGTGACCCAGCTTGGTTAGAGTTGGATCGTCATGCGCCACGCTCAACACCGCGTCGTTTGGAGTGCTACTTCAATGTGGCTGTGAGTATGCGATACCGTGCAGCCGTTGGAGATCTCAAACATGCAATTTGCCAGTGCATGCTACAACATCGACGGCAAGGCAAGTTGCACGCCTCCCCTCCCAACGGAAGCATGGAAGGTCGTCATGTTGTGGCTGGAGTTAACGGCCTAGCGGAACCAGAGCTTGAAATGAAGATACGAAGTATCAAGCCCAATGGCATTTCGCGGGGCGTCGTGTCAGATGCTGGCTTTGCTAATGCCGAAGCTGAGCACAGTCCGGGAGCCTACGCCATTTTGGCCTTTGACGACAAGCTCAAGGACGGCTACGGAGTTCCTTGGTCAATGATTTCGTGGAGAACTGGTCTAATCCAAAAAGTTATGAACTCCACGCTAGCAGCTGAGACACAAAGCTTGAGCGGGTGAACTATGCTGGGTGGCATCTTTGTTTAATGAGCTGATGGACGTGACCTTCAAGTTGGCCGAGTGGGAGCAGAGACTCCAAGGCAACAAGGTTATCATTATGGCCTCCGCAGGCTCCAGCTGAAGGGAAGTCTCTGTATTTTGGATGCCAAGACGCTCTACGACTCTCTCAAGGAGACAGCTGGCCCCTGGCCCCTCATCCGACAAGAGGACTGGATTGGAAAGTCATATGACCCATCAAAACATAAGCAGCATAAGCATGATCAACGGTGAGATTCTTGGGTGCCACATCCCAAATTGGTGGTAGACGGATTGACCACGAGGGGAGCTGGCATGACCGCCCTGTACGACCTTTTGGACAGCGGTGAGTACCAGATCGTTGATAAAGCCAATGCTCCAATGCTCCAGAAGAGAAGAAGCTGGAACTGTTATCACAGATGGATGGATGGATGGATGGATGTGTATGATAAATATCTATACGAAACTGTGTGTATGTTTATATATATATATATACATACACACACTTGTTATATATCTGTAATACAGCAACAGCACTGCTTGAGAAATCACTGGTTTAAGAAATTGAACCCCTCGGACAGCCGTGCGACAAACAAGTATAGACACAAATGCGTGCATTCAAAATAAGAGATCCAGGGTACCCTGGACTCGGCGTGCCAATTTTGCTCTTTCTCATGTTGTCTTCGCTGGTGTTGTTCTTACAAACAGTAAACCAAGAAACTAAGCGAGTAGATTTCGTATCCCAAAGGCTCGGCACCAAACCCTTACAAAGGAAACCAAGAAATGATAGCACAGCAGGAATCGAGTCCACAGCCTCTTCCATTCCAGCTCATGTGCTTATCTGCTTATCCACTCGGGCATGGCATCCTTCAGACTCCTGAAACGCCATCATATCCATCCCATGTTTTACCCAGCTTGTAATCAGCTGAGTACAAGCTGGGTAAAAAATTGATGCATATGGTGGCGTTTCAGGAGTCTCAAGGATGCCACGCCCGAGTCGATAGCACATGAGCTGGGATAGGAGGTGCTGCGGGCTCGAACCCTCCTGTGTTCTCATTTCTTGAGTTTTTTACTTGCTTACGAAAGTTGGGTTAAGAAATCCAGGGTACCCTCAAACCCCGAAACGTTTCTTTTTTCTAGAAAATGGGGTGCGCATTAAAAAATAAGATATCGAGCCCCCTCACGGAAAATTAACTGTTTCTTAACCGGCGCTGTTGCTGTAATTATACATACATACAAAAAAACAAATGTGTCAGTGCGCCTGTGCCCCCTGGCGAGCCTCGCTGTTCTCCGGACTGATGAAGCTGCGCTTCAGCCTGCGAGAGGGAACGAAAGTACGGCAAAGCCGAGAAGCCGCCCGGCTCGAATCTTGAGGATTTAGGCTTGGGCTAGATTTTTAGTTGGCGTTTAGAATTTTCTTTTTTTGAACGCCTTTTTCCGTCTAGCAGTTAAGGTCGACGAAAACCACGGTTGTGGGAGGCTGGAACCGGCGTTTAGAATTTAGGGTTTAGGGTTTTTGTCTGGTGAACAACGGCACTAACTGCTGTAGAGCCTATCCTCACTAAGTTCCATCTCACGGATGTGCCCGGTGAAAGCACTCTGAAAAGACTCTTTGCCGGAGGCACCGCATCGCAGCTCGGTTGGCACTGACCGCGGCACGGGCCTCAGCATGCGAGACTCCGCTTTCTGGAATCCTTCACTCTCTGGCCTCTGTGTCACTTTTGGTTGCTATCGCTTTGCCGCTCCGTCACTGCAGTATGGATGTCTGACATGTCGCGGGAAAACATTCGATGGTCTCTCGCATCTCTTCTGCAACTCGACAGCCACTCCGAGCTGTCGGCGGCATTGAGAGGAGCACTGACTCTTCGAAGCATCTCAGCAAGTTCAGACAGCTGTTGTCATGTCCCTGATTTCTCTGTCCGCACTGCTTCGCATGCGATTTCGAGGATGGTGCCCGCGGCACATCCGAGACTTCTAAGCTCCTCTTCATGCATTCCATAAGATCCGGAAAAGCTTGGGACAGTCTGAGCGCAGAAACAGTTTAAACTTGTTAAACTGTTCTTGACACTCCGGGGAAGACTTGGACTACTCGGCGCAGTAAAGATGTGCTCGGCAGTGCTCCTGTGCTCCTTCATCTCCTGCCCGGGGCCCAGGAGAATTCAGGAGACCATAGCAGAAGAATCCAGGCCTGCGGACTTCTGTTCTCTCTGCCTCCTGGCGTCGCAAAAAGTGCACGGTCAGGATTTCGAACATGCTGCCTGTAGCACCTTGCTGAAGTCTCTCCGCTTCTGGCTGCAAACTGTACCCAGACCCAGTTGTGCCCATGCATAGACGTTTTTTCGTGCTGTGACGACGGGTAGCATATCGTGAGTGAACGTGTCGAGAGCGCCTCAAGTGTGCATGGCACAAGTTTAACCCCTGCACAATCCCGACTTCTCCCCTGATGGCTCCCACCCTCTTGCATGGTACATGCAGCATGGGGCACTTCACCAGGCATGACCGGAGTTAGGCCACAGACAGAAACTATAGAGGCAGCGGGGGCAGCGGTAGAACCCAGCTACAGAAACGCAGGGCGAGGAAGTGGAAAGGAAATGCGCTGAATGTGCGGAAGGAGGTGACACAAGAAGATGTAGACAGAAATTGCTTGGGCACGCGACATAAAGCAACCACCAAACGAAAGGCTAAGATCAGCATTCCAGTGCGCCGCGAGCCAATACTGTTGCAAGCATGAAGCTTGCAGGGATCGAGAGTTGAATGAAAGCATGATGGCAGGGAGTTGCGAGGCACTCTGAGCAGAATAGCAGATGACTCGAAAAAGCGTGCACTCTTCGGAACCTCATAAAGGTGCATTTGAAATTGGCGGGCTTTTTCACCTTCACTGCGAAGCTACACGGTAAGCTCAAGGGGCCCCTACGGCAGCGGATCAACATATATACAATACATGCATGTCATGGTCATGGCTTCTATACATGCTCAAGTCAGGGTGCATTCACACTCAACCTGTTCTCATGCCATGACATTGAGGAAAATGCTAATTAACCACATGAGGTACAATAGGCATTGTCCTCTAGAAGTGGTGTCTGCAAGCTACCGTAGCACGGGCTCAGCTACTGTGGTACATACAAGGTATGTCCAAGGAAGTAGCGTCTGCTGTCTACACCTACATCTACAGCTTAGCACGACTAATGCTGTACTCACCAGATTCAATCAACTTTATGATGAAGTCTGGTTTCATGGACTTGGTGAAACAGTCAGCGGCTTGAGTGGCTGTGTCAACCCACTCCACTCTGTCTCCCCCTGCAGGGTAGACATCAACGGTGCGAGCGCCGTCTTCTGTGAAGATCGACTGACGAAGGGCGCTCAGTTCAATCTGTAACCGCTTGTCGTGCACACGGGACGGAGCCTCCGTGTTAAGGTGGTCTGCCAAGCTGCGACAGTCTGTCAAGACTATGTGCGGAACCTGTGTTCTCGCACGGATCTCCCAGTCGGGGCCGGAGCTACCGAATCCGTAGATTTCGGCCAAGGCTGCTCTGAGACGGTCCCCTGCCTCTTGGGCACTTTGCAAGGCGTAAGTCTCAGCCTGAAGAGTTGCTCTGCATACTCTTTTGATCGTCGTGGAGGAGAAGGAGACGATCATTGTGTCATAACGACTACAATTTGGATCGCGAAGCTGACTAGCAGGGGCAAGGAAGTGGATACGTCCTTGTTGAGAACGATCTCCTTTCTCGCCTGCGAAGCTCGCGTCTGACGCCGTCAGGACGCCTAGACTTTCAAAGTCAAAGGCTCCATTCTTGTACCTCAGCTTGAGGTCTCGTCCGGGCATGTCTTTTTCTTGACCCCCTATGTCTTTTTTTTGACCCCCGATCTTTTTATTGACCCCTGAACATCTGCATTCTGACCCCTGAACCACTTCTTTCTGACCCCCGTATCTTTGGTTTGACCCCTACTGTCTTGATTTTGACCCTCCTGTAGCCAGGCAGGCCAGAGCCTAAACAAATAAGCCCCCCGCCACAAGCTACAATATCTGGAAAATTTCACCCCTCCTTACACAAAAAACTGATTACACGACCTGGCTAAGCACCCGGGTCGGTTGCGCGCAGCCTTTTTTCAGTCAATCGAATGGGTTCGCAGGATTCGCACAAGTTCGCATGGCGGGATGTCCATGATTGGTGATGGCACGCCATTCCTTGGGGGTGGCCTTGCAAACCCGCTGAAAGGATTGGGGAGCGCGCAGCCCCTTCTTCCAGGCGTTCGCACAGGTTCACTTCATGGGGGAACGAGGCGCAGACTGTGCCTCAATAATGACCCCTTTACCCTTCCAGGCAGGTTGCTCTTCTTCCAGGCATGCGCACTGGTTCGCTTCATTCGCACAGGCTTGCGTGATGGGATATCCATGGATGGTGATGGCACACCGTTCCTTGGGGTCGCTTCGCGTTCTTTCGCGCAGCACAGAATTGGTATCGGGTACTTACGTGTATAGGTTCGCGCGGGGACAGGGTTTTCGCTTCATTCGCACAGGCTTGCATGATGGGATGTCCATGGTTGGTGATGGCGATGAGGTGGAGTTGGACATCATGACAGCTTGGGTTCATGCATGTGGAGGCCTGATTCATGGTGGGGAGAAGTGCCGGGACAACTTGTTGCTGAGCCAGTTTCCACAGACTGGCTGGTGCGAAGATGGAGGGAAGAGCCTTGTTGCCCCCCAGCCGTTTGAGAGCTTGCAGTAACTCTAGTTCCTCAGGCTGAACGGCCTGAAAGTCAGCATACTTCGGAGCTTCCTTGATGGCTCTGCCAAAGACTTGACGAAGGAATCCTGCGATTTGCTCCGCCTCTTCTACTCCCGCTAGAAGTCTGCCCTCTTTGTCCCGTAGCTGAATGCGTACGGACCTGGTCTTAGTTGCTAATCTTCGGACTACACTGTAGATCGCTGATGGCTGTGTGGAAGCCTCAGCTTCCTGCAACAAGGCATCAACCCGGTTCCTTTT